GAGAAAATTAAATGAGACTTTAAGTTACCTAGAGCTTCAGTAAAGTTGTCTTTTACAACACTTGCACTACAATACATGCATTAAAAAATGCATCTCAAAACACTTCTCAGTTCTTATATATTGTGTATGCATTCTGGGTTTGTAAGATGTCTCTAGGTCTACATCTGTGACCAGACAATGAGGAAACTTTTTCATTTAAAAGTGATGATTCACTACCCCTCTTTAAAGATTTCTACAGGATTTGACACATTTGATCCATAAAAAGTACCCTTTTTTTATATATTTGGAACATGCACAAGGCCATCTTTGTCACCCAAATGAATGGCCTGGTCAGATTGTCATGGCAATATTTCCCTTTAGTGAATCCATGTCGTCTTTCAGTTATTGTACATTTCACGAAATTATTTTTTAAAGTATCTTATTATACTCTCAATTTTCCCACTACAGAACTACAACTAATTAGCCCATAATTTTCAGAACTATTATCCTCCCCTTTAAAAAAGGTAACATAAGCAACTTTCCACTCTTTAGGCTCCTATCCATTTTCTATTGACCTTCAAAAAAATGAAAGATAGGCTCACATACCTGATCACTGACCTTTAAAACTCTGGGGAAAACCTTATCTTTCTCTAATGATATATCTGATTTTAATCTTTCAATCTTGTTACTTACCACCAAAGGAGTAATATCTTCATGACTAAGTTCAATTCCATTACTTCCCATAGAATATTAAGCATCACAAATGCTATTAATATCTTCTCTTGTAAAAATAAAACATACAATTTACAAGCTATCTCGCAGCCTTAAACAAAATCTTTGCAATCAGCATCCTTTACTTACTGTTAATTTCAAGATTTTCAGCCCTTTTGAATTTCCTAATTTCATTTGAAACCAAATCCCTTGCCTTTCTATTGCTCTGCAAGTCTTTCAACCTACCTGTTCAGTTAATCTAATGTCATTTGTAAACCAATTAGGTTTGATCTTCCCAGTATATAATGTTTCTATTTTTAGAAACATGCTTATCTTGAAGGAAAAGAAATTTATTTTTAAAAATTTCTCAAATCTGTTTCACATCACCCTTTAACTCATTGCCCCAATTCACTGATGATATTGTCTCATAGCCTCAAAATTGGCTTTCTGAGAATTACAAACTAAAAGTCCATTTATTTTAATGGCAACATGTAAGAAAACATCAATCCTAAATATACAATAATCACTCTTCCCCAAATGTTCACCCAATTCAACCATACCCTCATTAATGTTTAACAATAAACAAAATGGTATCCCCATGGTTACTCTCAACCTATTGGTTTAGAAAAAAATCCTGAATCACTTTCATTTTGACTTCATAAATCCAAATCAATGCACTTAAAATTAGTCTTATAAATTAACTATTGCATCAGTATTCTTTATTACTAGCAATTCTGATCACATAACACCATTTCTCATTAACCATTATTTTGTTTGACCAAGTGGCCAATAACAACTGCAAGTTAAAACTTTCTACCCTTAAAACCTGTGGCTGTAATCAATCTGTTGCCAAACATTTTTTTTTATGTTCTAAATTCTAAACGATTGCAGTTGATCCCTTAGAAAAGAAAAAAGGCATCCACCTGTTTTTTTTTTTTTAAAGTCTATCACTACTAAATAACTTATAATTCTTATTATTAGTATTCTCCAAATTAGACAAGTCTCAGTAATTTCCATTATATCAGTCTTCCATTTCAGTTAGGTTCCTAAACTCACCATTCCAAAGCACACTTACCATTATTTACGTTTATTTTGACCTCTAGTGAATACATTTAATGCTTTCCCAAACATGCACAACTGGAGTCCATCTAAGACATATAATGCACATTGACACTGAAAATTATCTCACAGGTTCAACCAAAACATCTTGGAATGAAGTATATCCTTGGTAATATTTTAATTAAGCCTTGGAGCCAATTAATTAATTCATTCTAGCATCTAGCCTGATGGAGCACTCCCAAAAGGATCACACATTATTTCTATCACTAAACCTCTGATGGAGGTCTTTATACTTTTAAAGCTGCTCTTCTGATTTACAATTTCAAACATCCTTCATTCCTAAATGCATTAAAAAAAAAAGAAAAGACACTGTTCCTTAATGCCAGCAGCTAAAGTGTCAACACACACTATAGTGTCCGACACTTTGGCATCTGACAAGCAAATTCTGATCCTAGTCTTTCTATGCTCCTCACTACAAATAGCTGTCAATATATACACAGGTGGGAATATAGTAAAGCAGTCAAGACTGAAAATGTAAGCTGCTAAGCAGAACAAGTCAAACATTTTCAGCAGTTTCTATCTTAACAGTTACACTATAAATACAAAACAAATATACATACACAACCTACAAAAACAACCACACATTATGCACAATAACTGCAAAAAAGCTTTTAATCGTAAAACAAAATTGCAAACATAAATTTTAAAAACTACCCCCCCCCAAAAAAAAAAGGTTATACTTTAAAGCCTTCTGCTTCTATTACTTCAAAACCCAAAAGAAACGTTTCCTATTGAAACCACTTGGAAATTAAGTGCAGATTCATTGTGGACTGATAACAGAAGGTATTTCTTTACACAGTCATGGGTGTCTGGAACAAATTGCCCTTCTACATTGTTAAAGCCAAGTCTCTGGGATCCTTCATGAAACGATTTAATGATCAAAAACAGAGAAATAAGTAAAATGGGCCAAATGTAACATTTCTTATCTTCACACTTGGCAGTCTTAATCCAATCCATATCTAATGTTATATTAGACTTTTTGGACTTCACTGAACTGGTTGGTAACTCCCCAACACTTAGTGAAGGTAAACTTGTTTTCTCAGTACCTTTTTTCCCAGACTACTCACTTGCACTTCTTGCAGTGATATCTGCCAAACTGACTCTTCTGTAGATACTTTTCTCTAGCATAGTTCTTTAACTATTTTTGCCAATTTTCAATTTTCTGGTAACTTGAAATCTTGCTTTTGAAGTGGCTGTTTGAATTTTCTTCTCTTTTTTCTTAACCAAGCTCTCTTGATTAACTTTGGAGTCACTGTGACTCAGTACCTGAAAGGATTTGATTACTTAGCTATACTTGGAATAATTATACAAGCAGTTCCTCTTTTATATGGTGATGACTTTTTTGCCATTGCTTCAGCAATTCAGACAGCAGTTACAAACAAAAATATTGTACAGGAATGTCAGTTTTTCCATACCCACTGTCTATGCATCCTATTTAAAGAATATCTTTCTTTGCACCACTGTCAACAGCATTTATTTTTCACAGATTTAACAACAAGAGCTGTGTCATATCCACCTTCCAAGAAAACGGATTGGCAAAACATCCATTACATAGTCATGAGTAAATTTAAAATGGCAAGCAACTAACAAATGAGGTTTAATTACTTGTCCCACTACTTTAAAATATCCCAATTTTTTATTTCAAGCATTATGCTACTGTACCACACATAGTCAATTTTTGTGAAGATATTAACTTCCAAGAAAAACAAAACAAAAAACAGTTACTTTTCAACAGGTGTGATAATAGTACTACTACCACTAAGTGATATATTAGTAATAAATGTATTGCGAGTTTAAGCTTAATGACAGAATACTAATATTCCTACTAGTCCAGTTTACACAAACACACATATATACATATATATCATAGTTCATATTTTCATCATCTGGATGACCTTAACCAACTAAGAGGCCTATGGGCTTACTAGAACAGTAAAACAAAAATCTAATCAGCCCAACAGAGCCAATTAGTATTTTAAGCATTTTTCCTATTTCACCTTTTTATTAAATGTACATTTCTATACTTTTTTCTTAAGACATAGGTGTTTTCATCTCATGAAAGAATCTTCTTTACTTCAATCTCCCAAATGGAGCCTGTAGTTTTGTGGGATCCCTAGCCTTTTTCTAAATATTATGGGATTTCCAGAATCATGTGAATGGTATGATCACTCTAAACTAAGTGTGATGAATAATAACTTATTTTTTGGTTAATATTAAAACAGTAATCTAAAATCATTTAATTTTTTATGTTTATCTAGATTAATATAAAAAATTATGTACATTCCAAAGAGGTTATCAAAAATTGTTGTTTACAATTGAAGTCTTAATATTATACACATACTTAGTGTCTTTCTCTAAACATTTACAACTGTAACTGATAAAATGTAATTAACATATATACATGTTTTTGGAGTGGACCAGTTAAACCTGATGAAAACCAGTTCAACATTTTGTAAGGACTGGTTAGAAATTTTTCAAATTTCAGTCCCTGATAAATTTCTCTCTCTCTCTCTCTCTCTATATATATATATATATAAAACCTGAATTTGATATCAATTACTCATCATGTTAACATATTATCAGTAATACATTTTTTACTTCAAAATTTTTTTTTAAATTTATTTATTATAATTTACAGGTCTTAACTTATAAAAGTTTAACCTTACAGTTGCAACTTACAAGTTGCATTAAATTACCGTTAGGCATTAGCAGTAGCCCTGTGGCAGCAATGATACCGATATGCAAAATTTTTGACAAAAATATGAAAAAAACAACATATGCTAACCAAATTTTTAAATGTATTTGAGCTTCACATTTATGGTGGCATAATTTTAAATTATATAAATATACGTATGAAATAAATTTTTAAAGATACACGTTTGCCTATTAGTATTAAAATATGTTAGAATTTAATTTTAAAGTTCCACTTTGTACAAGTTCACAGTTGCACAGTACACGTCAGCTAACGTTAGCAAAGTACAATGAATCTAAACGTCCGTTCATTACACTACTAGTCGTCCGTGTTCAATTAGGCTTAGTACAACTTCAAGTACGCCTAGTAGTACTAGTAAGTAGTAATAAAGGCTAACACTGCGACTCGAGTGCAAGAGTAACATATAACGGCAATCATTATAACAACAAGAATATAAATATCCAAGTATAACATTATTGTAATTTTATTATACACTTACCATAAAATAAACAGATGTAAATTTAATAAACTATCATCAAACTAGCGAACCAGCGCTACAATTGACCAGACTAAAGAGATGAAGCCGGCTTCTAACAACACACCAGAATTCTTGAACTTCACAAATCGGGAGTGACACTGTGACACGCATGTAATATTTTTCTGCTGACTTCTGTGATTGGCTACTTACATTGTATAACAATTTCTGATTTGCTGGTTAATGAGAGAAGTGCCACGTCAGTAAAATTGACTAGATGGCTAAAGTTATCAGTTCTTTTAACTTAGATATAAAACAAAACCAATTTCTAACAATATGGACGACATATTCTTTTCTTGCATACTGAAATAGTTTTGAATTGTTTATACGTACCACAAAATTCACGGATTGTTCTGTGATACGTATTTTACGTTTTTAGATGCTCACTCAAATATCAGTAGTAAATGAATATCAAAATGTATTGTAAAACTCATAATAAGGTGGCTTGGAAATAAACAAATTAGAAATAGTGAATACCAAATAATAGCACGTTAAAATTAAAGGAGTATAATTTTCATTTTATTTTCTTGCTTTCATTGGCCGATAATGTAAACCTCTGGTTCTTCAGCAGAAACATTTGATTAATTTCTAATTTTATACAAACTATGTCAGTAAACTTGTTATTTTAAAGTTTTTAACCAACCATTAGATCATTTCCGAACGTGCACAGAATTTCGTAAAAAAACTACACTTGGGCTATTGTTAAGCAAATTCCACTAGTACAAGACATAGCCGTTTACTAAGCCATAATCTAATATCTATAGATTAAAAATAATTTGTTGAATTGTATAATATAGTGGTCAAAACTGTCAAGATTTATAAGTAATTTATTAGGACCTCATACACCGATACATTAGAACTGTCCAGTTAATTGTGTATGCAAAATAGAGTGGCCATGTGTGGCGTAAATGCTCATGACCAATAAATGTGGAAGTGTAGACATATGGTTGTCAGTTTTCAAAACAATGATCAATGGCAAGAATCTTTTTGGCTTTCAAAGGGATGTTTGTGTGGTTGCCTAAACAACAGAAATATGATTAGCAAAGCCATTCCCTTGACAGGTGTAGTAAGCAAATATCACTCATCTCACTTTCCTTTTGTGTGTAATTTATATTTGCATTTTTCCTATAGTTATAATTCAGAACATACTTAATCCAATCGAGGTCATATGTCAGTTTAACCCTATTTTCTGTAGCAGCATCCAGTCATGGAAACTGTCTCTGTTTAGTGGGTTAGTTGTACTGTGTCCCACTTTTCCGTTAACTATGATTGTCACATGGAACATAGATATTTGCATTTCTTTCACAACTTATCATTCAATCCATTTTAATTCATTTACGAATAAATTTTAGTTTCGTTTTCTTTTATTCTTAAATACAGTTTCCTGTATTCGCTCTTCATTTTTTCCATTAATTTTAATTTCAATGTCATCAGAAAGCACTAGTTCTACTGTTAATACGATCTGTCGTTATTTTGTTTATTTTCAGTTTATTTTATATTTGTTTTTGCCTGTCTTTACCCAACTTTTATATATATTTCTTTCCAACTTAAACACACCACTACATCTGTCCTTCTACACGGATCTCTTATTACTGCATAGATCAGATAGCTATGTGCATGGTTATTCCAAATCCTTGGCATACCACAAAACTGTTGCTACTAGCTACTGGTGAAAAACCATGTGACAGGCATACAAAGCGCAACAAGCTGTTGTAGGCTCTGTTTGTGTTGTTGTTTTACTTTAGTCGTTTATATTGCTTTTGGCCAGATGTCCAAAAAAGTTGAAAGTTTAGGAAATGATTTGAGTTTTATAAAAACGAAGTTAGTCCAGGGTAAGTTACTGTTGATTTATGAGTCTGTTTCAGTCGATGATTTATTATTACTGAGATAGTGGTTTGTTAGTTCAGTTCCACAGAAACAAGAGATATATGAGAAAGTGATGTACGTACGGGATAAATTTGGTAAGTAAGTGAAATTGTTGTATCAGCGTTTACTGTGAACTTTGGATTATCAATGATAATTAATTAAAATAAATTGTGATTGAAAAAAATAAAAGTTTTTTTCTTTATTATTAAGTGTAAAGAATTTTGCATTCTTCGTTTTTACCAAATAATTAAAAAACTCGCCCAACAACCGAAAACGTTACAATACTTATGTCAGAAGTGAGATAATTTTGGTAATAAAATCAAGACCGAAAGTGCAAATGACAACACTTGTTCAAAACGACACTGAAAGTTTAATGAAAATGATGAAACAGTGGAAAGTGGGTCAATAATAAAGAACCGAAAATTAAATGAGTATGAAAGAGATCGAAAATGGGAAGAAATAGATATATAATTGAAAGATGTTTGTTTGAATTTCGCGCAAAGCTACACGAGAGCTATATACGCTAGCAGTCTCTAATATATCAGTGTAAGAATAGAGGGAAGGCAACTAGTCATCACTACCCACCGCCAACTCTTGGGCTACTCTTTTACCAACAAATAGTGGGATTGACCGCAACATTATAACACCCCCACGACTGAAAGAGTGAGCATTTGGTGAAACGGGGATTCGAGCCCGCGACCCACAGATTGCGAGTCGAGCTCCCTAACCACCTGGCCATGTAGTTGAAAGAAAATTATGTAGAAAGAAATGTGAAATCAAGAGAAGAATTACAAGAATGAGACTTAAGATTTACAAAAGAAATATAAACAAAATAAATTTAATTGAAGAAAAAATCGAATTATACAAGGAAGACGTACAGACTAAAGTTAAAAGGTCATAGAAAATATAGAGAAATAATATAATAAAAAGGTAAATGAAGTGCAAATGAACACTAATGAAGTACAGAAAGATTATAAAAACAAGACTGAAGAATTCATAGAAGTTTAAGATAGATAATAACAAGAAGTTATCGGAAATGTAAAGAAGGATTATAGTAAAAAAAGATCAATGAAATTACAAGAACATCAATACAAGAATAAAATATCTAGAAACAGAATTCGAAAAATGCAAGAATCAAACCAACTATTCCTCTCTCTGAATGAAAAGAGTCTATGAAGGAAACAAAATGAGCAACTATAGCAATGTTGTGTTTGGGCACCATGTGAGAGAATTGCTATCGATAGGCTTAGTCCTCTGCCAAAGAGCTACAGTGAGAATAAATACACCTTAGTGGCAATGGGCTGTTTCGCAAAATGGCCAGAAACATATGCTGTCACTAAACAGGAAGCAGAAAACTACCATACACTTTTTAAATCAGTTAGTCATTTGTGTGAATGAGAGCACCAGAGACCTCGGTGGAGTGGATAACGAACCAGTTATTGTCAAGAAGACTCAGATTGACTCTTGGCTACTACCAACACAGAAAATAATCCTTCTTAGGACGTCCCTGAGGACAGTAGCAAATTAGCAGCCGAAACGTAAGATAAAAACTAGTTAATAATTAGAATCTACTTATTAAAAAAAAAAGCAATTAGTTACTAATTAATAATTAGACTTAGGTCATCATACAGGCTATGCTAACCATGATAATGAATAAATGATATTCATATTTAATATCACTTGGGCATATGTAAATATGAAATAGATATATATTAGGGAGAGAAAAACTATATTTAAATAAATATTATTTCTCTAGTATCGCATTAATTTTTATAAAGTCACCAGTTTCCAAGTTTGAGCACTATTTACAAAGCGCAATTTTTTTATTCACAAACAGTGAAAATAAATTTTTCTTTTATTTAATTTATTTTGTTAGAATGATAGTGTTGCACTTCAGCACTTCCAATATGAAAATGTTAATTACCAAAGATTCACTTAATATGCAGAAAAGCGGCAGCATAAGGTGCCTAGGTTCCAGGGTTTTTTTTAGATTACAGGTGACATGCGGCGTGAAATATATTTTAAACAGAAATAGAATGTTGAAAAGACAAACTGTAATATGTAATCCAGGCCCATGGAGAAATCAACTAAATTTATTCTTGAGAATAAGCTGTTGTATCTTGTAGGTCCTAGTGTAAACAAAATTGAGACTTAGCGTTTGAGACTAATAAGTATGCCTGTCCGATGCTAGATCTGTGTGATGGTGTAAGCTATCAAGTCAGGAACTGATTTTCTTCACTTGTTCATGGGTATACCAAGAGACTTAATTCATTTTTTGCAGTATACTATGTTCGAATTTTATTACATACATGTGAAAATACATTAAAGAATATCATTTCCTCTTTCTAGGATATTGCAACAGAAAACTCATGCTGTCTGAGCATAAAACAGAATGGAACATTGGGTACTTTTTGACGATTTATTTATTTATTATGTGTGTGTAACGTTTTCCATTGATGAAATTCAATTTCCATTTAGGCTTGATGAATACCGGATGTAAAAGGAACAAATAAACAATCCTATTCTTTTAAATGAACCAATATAACAAATCCATACTATATATATATTTCTCTCTTTTTTTTTCTTTTGCTCTGTTACACCACAAGTGCATTGGCAATTATTATCTACGTTCTTGTATCGCACACCTGTACAGCACAGTATAATCAGCTGATTAGTTTTTGCTATTGTAACAGTAGATAAAATACTGAAACATTCCTTCCAAATAGAAACCATAATTTTTCAATATCGCTAGTTTTTAATGATCTTTAGTGTTAGTTTCTATTTCATTAACATATTGTTTTAATTATTCGTTTTGGCCGTTATATTTTTAGTTTTCTTAAACCAAAAGAACAATGAAAGAAGTACGTTATTTTAAGTTGATATGATATAATGCGTGCCGGTACTCTTATTTTTGGGGACTCGAACACTCGTTTAATAACTTGTGGTGTAGTAGAAAGTAAATTACTACACGTCATATAAAAATACAATGACTAGCGGGACCTTCATCTCTGTTTAATACTACTTTTTAAGTTTTAAAATTTTGCTATTTTTATTATTCTCAGATGTTCTTAGCAGTCGTTCTGTGATGTTGAGCTAGAATTATAGATTTATCCCATAAAAAGTGCATGCTGTAGTTTGCACATGTTCTGCTATACCTGACTTTTCAATTTCATTATTTCTTACGTGACTTTCATGTTCTTGTAGTCTGTATTCTAAGTTCCTTTTAGCTTGACCAATATAAATACTACCACAT